GAGCGCGGTGGCGGACGCGCAGGCCGCCCGCCGCCGCGCCGCTCGGCCTGCCCGCGCCGCTGCGGCACCGCACGGCCGCCGCTGCCGCTCCGCGCCCGCCTGCGTGCCGCGCGGCCGCTGCTGCCGCCTCCGCGGCCGCCCGCCCCACTCCCGCCCCGGCGGGCCCCTCCTCCCTCCTCCCTCCTCACTCTGCCTCTCCTCCTCCTCCTCCTCCTCCTCCTCCTCTTCCTCCGCCTCCTCCTCCTCCTCCTCCTCGTCCTCCTCCTCCTACGCTCGCCCTCCCTCGCTCTCTTTCGTTATTCCTTTCTCTGTCTCTCTCTCCCTCTCTTTTTCTGTCTCTTTCTTGTGCTGCGCAGATGTAGCACCGCTATGCCGCCTCGGGGTCCTTGCGCGCAGTCGAACGCGGGGGCTTCCGAGACTGTAGGAGAGGGGGAGGAGGTGCTGCTGCTCGGAGGGGGAAGAAGAGGAGGGGGGTCAAGGTGTGTTCTCCCTGCTGGCCACTGGCGCTCTTGGAGCGGCCTGGCCAGAGCACGGTTGCCGTCGCCGTTGCCCGGACGCGGGGGAGGTGGAGGGGGAAGCGTCGTCGTCGAGAAGAGAGGGATGGGGGTGTGGGGCCTAGCCACTGCAACGTTCAAGGCGACAGCGGTGTCTCCTGGGTCTCCCGCACCAGCGTTCTCCGTAGTCTGCCGGCTTGCCTTCCAGAATTGATGTTGTGCGGCTCCGGCTGCGGTATTCGTTGTCGTACTTTGCCCTGCTGATCGGGCCCTCTTGGGGGAGAGGAAAAACAATTATGTCGGGCGACCCTTCATTTCTGCAGGGAGGGGGCGGGCAAGGGGGGGCAGGAGCGGTTGCAGAGTTAGAAGGAAGACGGGGGGAGAAGTGGGGGCGCGTCGTCTCTCGCTGCCCAGTGGTGGCGCTCACTAGCGCTGTGTCCGATGGGTGGTGCGCTGTGCCCATGTTGGGCCGTCTCGGGTAGTCCTCGCCCGCGTCGAGCGCGTGTATCAATTTCCAGGTGCTGGTAACATGGATGCAGATCGCGTCGAATCCGCGCTCGTAGCTCCGATCTGGAATACGTACCCTACGTTTGGCTGCCCTTCTGCAGCAGCCATGTCCAGCGTGGACCCCCACACTAGTTTTCTTGCAAGCTATGTGGCGCAATACATGCAGTGCAAGCTATGTGGTGCAATCTATGTGGTACAATCGATTTTTACCCATGATTTGACACATCCCATGCTCTTGCAAACATCCCACCCACCCACCCGCAACTTGGTTTGCAAAACCTCTTAAGACCGTGACGGTGGGTACCAAATTGCACTTGGCAACGACAGCGACGCCGATGACGACAGCGACAACGACGACGACGACGCCGCCGACAACGACTACGACGACACCGACGACGTCTCCAACGACTTCGACGACGCCGACACGACGACGACGACGACGACCGACGACGACGACGACACCGACGCCGACGACGACGACGATGACAACGACGACGACGATGACGACGCCGCGATGACGACGACGACGACGACGACAACGACGACACCGACGACGACGACGACGTCAACGACGCCGACGACGACGACGACGACGGCGGCGGCGTCGACGACGACGCCGACGTCGACGACGACGAAGACGACGACGACGCCGACGCGACGACGACGACGACGACGACGACGACGTCGCCAACGAAGACGACGACGAGGGAGGAGGGAGGACGACGACGGCGACAGCGATGACAACGACGACAACGACGAGGGAGGAGGGAGGACGGCGACGACGCGAACGACGAAGAAGGAGGAAGGACGGCGACGCCGACGACGACGACGACGAGGGAGGAGGGAAGACGACGACGACGACAACGACAACGACGACGACGACGGCGACGAAATAGAAGGGACGACGACGAGACGCCGACGACGGACGACGACGACGGCGAGGGAGGAGAAGGAAAGACGACCACGGCGACAACGACGACGGAAACGACCACGACGCCAAAGAGGACGACGACGACGAACACGAGGAAAGACAGGACGACGTAGGCGACGACGACGACGACGCGGGAGGAGGGAGGACGGCGACGACGACGACGACGCAAGAGCGCGCGCGCACACGCTTTTGTTGAAAATCCGTGTTGCGAAACCTTGTGTTTTTGTAGGTTTTTTGGACACACGATTTTGAAATCCTTCCGAAACCGATGGGTTTTGAAGGATTTCGGCATACGCGCGCGACGACGCGCGCGTCTGCACTTCGTCCCTTGTTTTGCAAAGGATTCTCGCGACGGCACACGCGCAAGGGCGTTCTACAGATTTCCACATGCGCGCGCGCGCGAAGCTCGTTTGGTAGCATTTTGTGAAAATCTTGAAAAACCATGGTTTTTCTTCAGATTCGCAAGAGCTCGCGCCGAAGCTTTTTTAGCAAATCAGTGTTGCGAAACCATGCGTTTTTTTGTATGTTTTTTTGGAAACTCGATTGCGAAATCCTTCCGGCACCGAAGGTTTTTGGAGAATTTCGGCATGCGCGCGCGGCGACGCGCGCGTCTGCACTTCGTCCCTTTGTTTTGCAAAGGATTCTCGCGACGGCACACGCGCAAGGGCGTTCTACAGATTTCCACATGCGCGCGCGCGCGAAGCTCGTTTGGTAGCATTTTGTGAAAATCTTGAAAAACCATGGTTTTTCTGAAGATTCGCAAGAGCTCGCGCCGAAGCTTTTTTAGCAAATCAGTGTTGCGAAACCATGCGTTTTTTTGTATGTTTTTTTGGAAACTCGATTGCGAAATCCTTCCGGCACCGAAGGTTTTTGGAGAATTTCGGCATGCGCGCGCGGCGACGCGCGCGTCTGCACTTCGTCTCGTTTTTTGCAGAGGATTGTCGCTTCGGCACGCGCGCAAGGTCGTTCGAAAGATTTCGACATGCGCGCGCGCGCGGCCCGTTTGGTAGTATTTCTTTGAAAATGTTGAAAAACCTGTGGTTTCTCAAGATTTCGCAAGAGCGCGCGCTTCAGTTTTTTTAGAAAATCAATGTTGCGAAACCAAGTTTTTTTGGTATGTTTTTTTGGAATCTCGATTGCGAAATCCTTCCGAAACCGACGGTTCTTGAAGGATTTCGGCATGCACGCGCGACGACGCGCGCGTGTGCGTTTTTTTTTTTTTTTTTTTTTTTTTTTGTTTTTTGCAACGGGTTGTTATGATATTTGATAAACGAGTGTGCGCTCATAGTCTTTTTTGCAGAGGATGGTGGGGGGGAATGATACCGGTTTGGCTTGGATAGTATGAGTTCATATTCAGGATGGACGAGTGTGTAGAATAGATACGAAATCACAATCCACCAGGGGGGATCGTTGACTCCAGGGGGGTAGGGAATCTATTTCTTTTTTAGAAAAGAGCAGATACATGGCGTAAGTTACGTCATGCAATCTATGTGGTTGGAGCTGGCGCGCTCATCTATGTGTTGTGATCTTGAAGGTGTACGCTATGTACTGCAATGTTTGTGGTAAGCACGACCGTATTCATCTATGTGGGTTGAGCTGTGTGGTGTGAGCTGTGTTGTGCAATCTATTTGGTAGGAACTGGTTATTACCCATGATGTGGCACATCCCACGCTCTTGCAAACATCCTGCCCACCCACCCGCAACTTGGTTTGCAAAACCTGTTAAGACCGACTACGACGACACCGACGACAACGACTACGACGACACCGACGACGTCTCCGACGACTTCGACGACGACAACGACGCCGACGCCGACGACGACGAACGCGACGACGACGACGCCAACGAAGACGACGACGAGGGAGGAGGAAGGACGACGACGGCGACAACGACAACGACGACAACGACGAGGGAGGAGGGAGGACGGCGGCGACGCGAACGACGAAGAAGGAGGAAGGACGAGGGAGGAGGGAAGACGACGACGGCAACGACGACGACGACGACGGCGATGAAATAGGAGGGACGACGACGAGACGCCGACGACGGACGACGACGATGGAGGAAGATGAAGGACGACCACGGCGACAACGACGACGGAAACGACCACGACGCCAAAGAGGACGACGACGACGACGAACACGAGGAAAGACAGATGACGACGTAGGCGACGACGACGCCGACGACGCGGGAGGAGGGAGGACGGCGACGACGACGACGACGACGACGCAAGAGCGCGCGCGCGGACGCTTTTGTTGAAAATCCGTGTTGCGAAACCTTGTGTTTTTGTAGGTTTTTTGGACACACGATTCTGAAATCCTTCCGAAACCGATGGGTTTCGAAGGTTTTCGGCATACGCGCGCGACGACGCGCGCGTCTGCACTTGGTCCCTTTGTTTTGCAGAGGGTTCTCGCGACGGCACACGCGCAAGGGCGTTTGACAGATTTCGACATGCGCGCGCGCGAAGCCCGTTTAATAGCATTTTGTGACGATCTTGAACAACCTGTGGTTTTCCCAAGATTTCGCTAGAGCTCGCGCGGAATTTGTTTTAGCAAATCAGTGTTGCGAAACCTTGTGTTTTTGTATGTTTTTTTTTTGGGAACTCGATTGCGAAATCCTTCCTGCACCGCAGGATTTTTGGAGGATGTCGGCATGCGCGCGCGACGACGCGCGCGTGTGCACTTCGTCTCTTTTTTTGCAAGGGATTCGTGAAAAAATGTTATGTTAGAACAAACAATGTCGGCGCATACTGTTT